AGTGGGACTTGGCTACACTGACCAGCCAGCTCTATGCTTCCTAATGGGAAGTACTGGGACTGGGACTCTTCTAATCAAACAACCCCACCCCCTGATAATTCTACCCGAGCCAATCAGCGCTGAGCAGTGTACAGTACGTCACACACCACAGAGTTCGCTGTCGCTTTTTCCTCTGTTCTAAATGACTTGAACATGTCTTCAAAACCACAACAAGAAAAAGTGCTAAAAGCCTTTCTTCTAAAAAAAAAAAGATGTTTGCGCCATCGCCAAATGCCATTTTTGACTACAACAAAAAAAAAACATAGCGATGCGAGGTACTGTCGGCATTCCCGCCTTTTTTCTGATTGGTTATTTTTGAGCTGGCTAGTCCCGCCCCTTATGTGCCTCACTGCCTGTGAGTAACCAGGCTAGGGGTGTTTCTCAATTTCATGGTGCCTGGCTTTGCGAGGCGATGTCTTGCAAGGCCAGGCGCCTTGCTTATGAGGACACTGTCCTTCCTTGGTCAAAGAAAACGGTTAAATGAAACAGACTTGCATCATAAATGATAAATGATAAATGACCCACACTTTTGTATAGCGCCTCTCAGAGTAAGGACTCCAAAGCACTTTACACTACAGTGTATCATTCACCCATTCACACACACATTCACACACTGATGGTGATGAGCTACGATGTAGCCACAGCTGCCCTGGGGCGCACTGACAGAGGCGAGGCTGCCTAAAACTTTGGACAAGGTGGGTTAAGTGTCTTGCCCAATGACACAACAGCAGAATTCTCTGTCCGGAGCCGGGATTGAACCTTCAACCTTCCGATTACTGGACAACCCGCTCAACCTGTTGAGCTACTGCTGCCCTAATCATGTGACCAAGGCTTCCACGGTGGTCACGTAACGTCACGTAACACAGGAGATAACGTTATATTTTATACGTACAAGTTTCGATATGAATATATATCGAGGCTTTTACTTTTTAAATTGTGTATATGTTTGTTAAATTAAATATTTAAGTGAGTTACTACCCGCTAGCCACTGAAGCTGCAACTACTGTACTAAGCAACCAACCAACCATAGATAACTTATTTAGATCTAAAAAAACATTTTAAATTAGTTGACTTACTTTTAAACTTGAAATTTGCCCCTGAAGTAGCTGCCAGCTTCTGATCCGCCATCCTTTTGAAAATACCGCGGTGTAAACTTTTGACCAAGGCTAGGCTACAAGACACCTCCCGTGTATCCTTGCTCAGCTAGCGAAACGGCTAACAAATGGAGAAGACACACCTAGGTAGAATATGAACATGGGAACACGTCTTGGCGGTTCCTGATGACGTATCCCCTAGGCAACCGGGGTGGGGCCAAGACATCAAGGCAAGGTTCCTTGGCATTATCAAACACCCTAAGTCTCTGTGTAGACAGAGGATGAGTCTGGCAGGCCAGGCTTGGCTGGGATTGAGTATTGTTAGAAACCACTATGACCTCTCTGCCAAAAAGGTAAATGGTTTTAATATCAAATCCCGCCTCTTATCCATAAAATTAATGTTTCTTCTGCCTTCTTGAGCTGAGTATAACAAAGATAGAAAATGCCTGACTGACTTAGGGTCAATAGAGTGGGGTCCATTAACAGTTGGATGTTGGTTTTGTTCTCATGTCTCACACTGATTGTGTTATCTGTTTTTGAAAAGCATTACTGGGAACGTGCCACGACTCACGTGAACCATCTGGCTCTCGCTGTATTACCCTAAACTGTGAAAATCCACAACAATCTTTTTTGAGGAAAGATAAGATAAATTGCCTCCTGCTTTACTCCGAGAGTCGTTAATTATTCAAGAAACACAAATCAAATTCTGAACAAATCCCAGCAGCAGCAGCAGCAGACTTCTGCTTGTTAGTAAGTTACAGCTGCATATGCACTTTCACTTTTAGTCTTTTTCCCCTCCCTAGAGTCTTTGCTCTGCAGCATTATATTTCAATGTCCATTAAATTCATGAAATAAGAAAGACGACACACATAGTTTATGTTTTAGCTCAAAATCAAGTCAAGTGTGCATGTTTTCATCCTGTCCCTCAGTGTTTTTAAGAGATATTGGTGCAGACACCATTTACCTGCTTGGATTAAAATGCAATCTTCTTCTTCCTAATGAACTACCTGATGACATTTTTTTTCTTTGCATTTCCATCTGGTGCATGTGAGCATTCACATCCTTTCCATCTGCCCACTCCTCCAATTCATGCTTTGCCGGTTCAGTGTGCAAAGCAGACAAGACAGCGGGAAGGGTGCAACCAAAATAAACATGGCAGGTGATACTGTACACAGCCAGCGGGCACGTCTTTCTTTACTGTTCATAGAGGGAGGCAGCAGATTTGAAGATGGGTGGGTTTTATATGCTACATCTTCTATGAATGTTTTCATTCAATCTGTGCTTTGTTCACATCCACGGATGAGTATTTTTGGTTCTGCCTCCCTTACTCCCTTACATTGCTGCTCTTGCTCACTTGCTGCAGGTGTGATTCACGTTCATGACTATTTATACCTGCTAGAGGGCCGTTTGTTTCTACAGTTACCAGTTTGATCACATATTTCTTTACCACTCCAGGTGTTTTCATGAATTATTGAATGGGACACATTTCAGGTGACAAATTGTGTAATTTTGAACACATTTTCAATCCGAATGAAGATGTTGAAAGTGCAAGAGCTGCCAGTATGTTTACTGAGCAGTTGTAGCTCCTACGTTAGCTCAGGAGCCGATAGTTTTGTCACCTATGGACAATTCTTAGCTGTTTACCGTTTTGTGGACCAGCAGATTACATTCTGTTTATTAGACATTTAATACGTGCTGTGCAAGGAATCCAATACATTTCAGTTGTCTCGTAGTTGGTGGTTTTATTGAAACCCAAAGTGCAGAGTGAAATGTGGAGAAATCCATACTTTAAAGGCTGCATGGTGGCACAGTGGTTAGCACTGTTGCCTCGCAGCACGAAGGTTGCAGGTTCGAAACTCGGCCGCGACCTTTCTGTGTGGAGTTGCGTGTTCTCCCCATGCATCCTCCGGGTACTCCGGTTTCCCCCACAGATCACAACATGCCCTATAGGTTATAAATTGTAAGTTGCTTTGGATAAAAGCGTCTGCTAAATAAATAAACATAAACATAAACATAGACATAATGAAATGATCGACTACAGGAAAACCAACAGGGAGAGAACACAACTAGAGGCACACACTCTGAAGCTGAAGGGAGGAACCTCCCCCAAAAAACAACAAAACATGAAAATTAAATGGCGAAATGAACAGAAAGAGCACAAGTGACTGAGATAATATGGGAAGAACAATAGAAACCTGCATGTGAATCAATAAAACAAGCCTAAGACTAAATGAAAAGGAAACAAAACCATTAAGTGTCATTGGAACTCAGAGTGTGTAGATGTAAACATATTACATGTAGGTAAATTTAAATCAATACTAATTGTTTTTATCACATTCCAGTTTCTCATTGAATGCATAAAATGGTTATTTTACATTATGCTTTCATTAGTGACCCAAAAGGGTTCAAGTGAACACAACTGGACTTTTTTGGTTTCTTGAAGACGTTACGCTTTTCATCCGAGGAGCTTTGTCAATTCTGACAGGAATATGGGAGCATCGACCTTTTAGCTGCCTGTTGTTATTTAACGAGCAGAAACTACTCTGGGTACCCCTCCTGTGACCTGGACTGAAACTGCTTAAGAATGAGGAGCAGTTTCAGGCCTAGTCCACACGTAGCCGGTTTTTTTTAAAAACGAATATCCGCCCCTCCAAAAACTTGCATCCACACCACCTCGTTTAAAAAAAAAACTCTGTCCACACGTACCCGGATAAATACGTTGTTAAGGACATGCCAGACCTGTAGGCGGCAGTACTTCCCCCGTTCTTAACCTCGTCCTTCGTCTGTGGTCTTCCGCGAGGAGCAGTAATTCCGCTTGCAAAAACAAACAAGCAAAAAGCGCTTGGACAATTGATAAAGCGAGCGCAGCTCTGAGGGCATCCATGCTGTCGGCTAGTGTAAACACAGGTCGCACACGTGATGTCAGCATTTTTTTGTCGTGGAAAGTGACGTTGCGGACCTTAAAACTCCGGTTTTGTCTGTCCACACGCAGACACCCAAAACGGAGAAAACGCAGATCTTCACTTTGGCCGGAGTTTTTAAAAAGATCCGTTTTCGTGTGAAAAATCTCAGTTTTCATGTAGATGACAGGCCAAAACGTAGAAAAATATCTACGTTTTGGCAGATCCCCGGCTACGTGTGGACAGGGCCTCAGTCTTTGTCACACCTTCCTGCATCTAATCAGCACAACGACTCTCTCTCTCTCTCAATAGAAGTTAATGACTCATCAGGAGGAAGAGAGGAGGGGTACCCAGAGTAGTTTCTGCTTGTTAACTAGCAATAGACAGCTACAGTTTATAAGCTTGACGCTCACATTTTCCAGTTAGAATTGAAAAGCTCCTCAGGTGAGAAGGGAAATGTCTTCAAGAAACCAAATATATCCAGTTGTCTTCATTTGAAGCCTTTTGGATCACCATGCCCTGGACAGCTGAGAACCTTCATCAGCTTATTCATTGGTGACATTAGTTGCTTTGTCACAAATATTTTGAAACCAAGTCCTAACTCTTAACCTGCTGGTCACATGGTGGTGGTGTCTAATCCTGTCCTCAAGAGCCACTGTGTTGTTATTTTAATTTTCATTCAAAAAGGAAACATCTAAAACAAGCAGGATTGAGAACTTACCACACCACACCATTTTATTTCTAAAGCATGGATTAGGGTTGGAGTGTGGTTAGGATTAATCTCTAAAGGATCCTTAAAGGATCAGGCCTGGGCATAACTGATATAATACATGAACTCCTTTAGGAAACATTTCCTGAGAATCACTGTTACTAAGTGTAGTGCAGTGATCTCCTTAAGAATATATAATCTTATTTGAAAACTCATAATGTAACATCATTAAAACTCACTTCTTCTCCTTTCCTCCAGCGGCCCTTTTGGACGACCCGTCTGTGTGTGGTCGTGGCGAGCGTCTGGCGCTGGCTCTGGCACGGGAGAACATCAACAATCAGATGGAGGGCTCCGCCCAGGCAAGAGTGGAGGTGGATGTGTACGAGCTCCAGAAGGACTCCCAGTACGACACCACTGACACCAGTAAGACCTGCCGTTTATTTTATAGTCACACAGAGACAGGCACCACCTGAAGCCTTTTCCCTCAATGACAATTTTCAGTCAAGGTTAACTTCTGTGAGCGCTCTGTGTGGCGAGGCTGTTAAAAGTAATGAAGCATCAATCTTTACAAGGCTGGTCATTAGCACAGCAGAAATAAAATACGTCTTCCATTTGATCTGAATAGATATTTATTATGTTTATTCAATAGCAAGCAAATAAATAAATAAATAAAACTATTTAAATAGACAGTAGGTCTGTCCTTGTCCTTATATACAATCAGGTATTATTATTATTATTATTATTATTATTATTATTTCTAGTAGTAGTCGTAATATTATTGTTGTTGTTGTTAACATTAGCATTATAAAGAGCTACATCAAAATGTTAACATCGATATTTTAATGATGATCAGGTATACAGTTAGTGAGTTAGTTACCTAGTTAACCAGTTAATTAGTTCCTTATTTACATAACAGTTATTTACACTGAAAAAAGACAGTCTCAAAAAGTTGTTTCTATTTATTTTTCCTATTTCACCTAAATATCCCTGTTAAGTTTTAATTGTTAAACTCAGTTTTGTGTGTTTTGATATTGAAAACTTTAAATTGCTTGTTATTTCAACAAAAGATTATATTTTTCTCATTCTCGTGCATTCAGTCAACTTAAAAATGCAACTTATAGATTATAAAATGACCCCGCCCACTGTGAAAGCTGCAGTGGGTGAGGTGCATTGTGGGTAGTCATGCTCTTAGTTATTTTGTTCTAATTTGAGGTGTTTATGCACAGTTATTGTGGGCAGTTGTGTTGTTCTTAGTTTTTGCTTTTTTTAGTGTTCCAAAGGTGGAGTTATTTGTTGTTGTCATGCTGGCACCAAAAGTGAGGAGGGCGGTCGTAGGAATAAGAATGTTGTGACGTTTCACGCTACTGCACCAAATTTAGTTGTAGGTCTCGTTAAATGCTCAGCACTCAGCTCCTTGTGTTATGTATGAGGTGTGAGTTAGTCAGCATTTCTCAGTGTTGTTGTTAGCTTCCTGCTTCACTGTTTGCCTGTATTGGCATGACAGCTGCTGTTTTGATAACATGAGTTGAAACAATTAATCTATTTGTTCAGTTAACATAAACTTTTAATTTGAATGGACAACCATACATGTCTAACTCAAATTTATAAGTTAATATAATGTAGAATTGTGTGTATGTTTAACAAAACAAAATGATTTTTCCACTTTGTAATCTAATAAGATGTGTTGTTTTGACTCACAATATAATATTCAAACAAAGCATAGTTAGTATTCATGATATTTGTACAACTTGACATATAGAGTTGAAAGAAAGTGTTCATTTAAGTTGACATGACTCAAGTTTTTAAGGCAGCTGTTGAACTTTAGTTTTTTAAGTTATTCTGGCCTACAATTTATTACAGTGTACTCATTTAGCTACTTATTCCATTTCCTATTTTTAGTTACTCAGTTACTTACATAGCTGCTTAGTTACTCAGTTCATTATTTACACAGTTATTTAGTTACTCAGTCACCTATTTACTCAGGTAGTCACTTATTTAGCTACTTACTAATTTTCTTATTTTGCTAGTTTCTCATTTACTTACATGGTTGCTTAGGTAGTTAGTTGCTCAGTTCCTTACTTGCAGTTACTTAGTTACTAATTTTTTTTACTTATTCACTCAATTATAATTTGTTATTTGCTCACTTAGTTTCTTTTTTGTTAGTTACTCAGTTTCTTATATACACAGTTACTTTATTACTCAATTACTTACTTACATAGTTAGTTCACTAATGTTACATTAGAAATTGGCTAGTAGTATTTCTTAAATAGTTTAATGATGATATATCACAGAAAACCCATCAATTGTTAACATTTTTTTTATTTATTAACATATTTAATTGTTCATTTTACTATTTGGAAACAATGAAGCAATGTGAGTCAGAAGAGCAGTAAAAATAAGATTAAAATGTATTCAATGGGAGTCTAATTTAAACTCCTTATCCATCCATGTTAGAGCCTTTAAAGCATACATTAACCTTATTTGTTTGTCTTTCCGTTTAGTAATAAGCAGGATATGAGAGACATAAGGATAATGGGACATCACAGTCTCAAGGTGTTGAGCGCCAATGTAAAGCAAGGTCACCGTGACCTCAGGGCTTGGAGCTTTCTGAGTGAACAGCTGTGGTTGATGTTTATTGATTATGAACTGCCAGCAGGACAAACGGGACTTCCCAGAGGACAAACAGTTGGGGTTTTGTTTCAGAACCAACAAATAGTGCTACAGAAACACTAACAGGCTAATAAAACAGACACAATGCATCTATTGGTGTTACCTGAACAACAGCTCAACGTTTCTTAATCCATAAAATTGATCTAATACAAGATTTATTTCAGTAACAAACAAGACAAAAAAAACTACCTTATATTTTCTAACTAAATCATGTTTTTTATCAATTCCTCCATCAGTGTGTCAGATCCTGCCAAAGGGTGTGGTTTCTGTGATCGGCCCCGCCTCCAGTCCTGCCTCTGGGTCCACCATCAGTCACATCTGTGGGGAAAAAGAGGTGAGTCTAGTAGTTTAGCACAATAAGATGATGCCATCACTTGAAACATCATCATTAATCCAACTGAAATCAGAAAGGTTTCTGTCAATAAGTTTTTTTTTGTTTGTTTTTTTTTGTTGTATTTTTGCAACAGTTTCAGCATTCATCTCCATTCAAAATGCATTTTATAATAAATGCGGGCACATCTGCCTCTTGGTGAAAGACATGTTAACTAATGTTCAGCAGGAAAATGTCACTAATAAAACAATAAAATGCTGGAAAAGTCTTTTTTAGATGCGTAACAGCATCAACAATATTATCACAATCATTAATAGGAATTCTAGTGTAAAAACGTCAATAAAAACAGCTTTTCCTGCCACAATCACTCCCCGTTGCAGATACATGCATGAGGTGTTGAAGCATTTCTGAAGATTTTTATGAGGATAAACATGTGTTCAACCATTTTTCTGCCTGAGTGAATCCTCTCCTTCTTTAAAGCCTCCAACCACCCTCGCATCCCCATCCTCATGCCTGACATGCCTCCGATTATTGAATTCTCATCTTGAATAAATAATAAGCTTTGCAGATCAGAGTCAAAACCCAGATGAGCTAATTACAGATTAGCACTTAAACCTCTGTAGGTGTTGGGTTAAATAACTAAGCAGCTGATCACACAGGACACATTTCCTGTCACTTGCATCTTTGTTCATCTCAGAGGTGAATAGTTTTCAATTTGTCATTAATTTATTACCTTCTGTAGAAATATGTTAATCAAAAGGCCTCTGGAGTTTGAATTGCAGATGACGGGTTTTAGAATTCTGTCTCATACACACATTTTGTAGTCCAGCATCAGTATTTCAAAGGAATTAAAATAACTTTTTTTACTTACTTTACAGAAAATGTGTAAAAATGTTTACAATACATAAAGCATTAAAGAAATACTATGTAAAAATTTGAGCCCTAAGAAGCCATCACATCTTTTTATTTATTTAATCTAATATTGGATGAAGCAGGCTAGAGACTCACGTTGAGGTGACCATGTTAACGTTGAATTAGAAGCAAATGGCTCTAAAAATATCTAAAGCTTTTTTTATTATATACTTTTTCAACTATTAACTACTCGATATTACAGTATTTTGTGAAGGGAATGAGTCCGTCATGGCATTGTACTTCCTTTAATGAGTCATTCAGAACCATAACAACAAGCTAACATTAAGACGGCACACAACACTTCCTCTAATGCTGGAGGCATTTTACCGTAAAAGGTGTAGTAAATGTTCCCTACCATAAATTACCCAAAAGTGCTGTCATCAGATAGAACAATGCATTTATCTACTTAACTCAGTGATAATGACTCGTCTCTGTTTGTCATCTAGAATCGTCTGGTGCTGCTCTGTAAACGGCAACAGCCATGAAACTCACAGAAGTTATTTTTGTTAAGAAAAGCGAGCTGTAGTAACCAAATTTAACCACAGAATGTCATTCTTGTTTGATTCTGACATATTGCACCTTTAAACAGTAAAGCTAAAAATGTAAAAATATTATTTTTTTCTGTAAGTTGAGTGAAAACTCACTCAAAAGTAAAAGTGTTAAAAGGAGTGAGGAGAAATATAAATTTAAAATAATACAGAAGTAGAAAGTAGCAATTCATTTTATTGCAGTGAGATGATTTTTTTTTAGAATTATCGTTTTGTGTTTGCTGCAAGATAATTAGTGAAACATTTAGTATGTCTTCATTAAACGTTACTTGTTCAGCCGGTACTTGTAGTTTTAATTATTAGCCTCATTTGTCATTTCGGCTATGAATTATCTAACACATTTACATTTTGTTATGTGTGTCCACTTAGATTTACTTGTGTTTATTTCATTAAAACATCCATTTTATTGGTGTTAGGTTTACAGTCTCTGTCATCTATGTTCTCTCTCCTCCTCTGTTATTTCAGATCCCACACATAAAGATCGGCCCTGAAGAAACCCCTAAATTACCCTATCTTCGTTTTGCATCTGTGACCCTCTACCCAAGCAACGAGGACCTCAGCCTGGCCATTGGATCCATCCTACACTCATTTGGCTATCCAACAGCCAGCTTAATCTGTGCTAAAGCAGAGTGTGAGTGCACATTTCCATTTTAGCTGTTTTTATTCTTATTTTTTTTAATTATTTCATTTGATTCTTTTAGTGAAGTATCCTCCACTTTCATCCTGAAAACAATTCATTTTAAAGACACTTTAGTATTCCAGGTGGATTTTATGTTCCAGTTCGGTGCTTATGCCTCTCTATGCATTTTTTTTTCCCATTTGCTTATTGTTGCTCTGCTGGAATGAGATACTTGACAATGTGCTGAGTGGGTGAATGTGTTGTACAAACAGTTTGGGATTTCAAAGCAAGCACTTATTTCACACTCTGGAGTGTTGACTGATGTGGCCAGGCGATAAGTTTAATGTGGGCTCAGGGTTTGCAGGAAACAGCTCTGACCTGCTGAGGTTTGGACTCGTTGGTGGTGCCCTGTGGTATCTGGCATCGAGATGCTAGCTGTAGATTCTTAGAGTACTTGAAGCTGTAAATTGAAGCTGCTGTGCGACAGATTTTTTTTTCTAGCACCTCCGTTTGCATGCTGTGGACATCATGATTTAGCTTACTGCAGACAAGTGCTGAACAGGGAGACGTTATTTTCTGAGATGCTGTGATAGAGTCAGGAGGTAGAACTAAATACTTGAATCCGGTCAAATAAACTCAGAGGTGTGTTGCTGCACATTCCTGTCCTGATTTTTTCATAATATTGATATGAAACCTTGATGACTTAATTAGATATACATTAATAAAGTGAAGTCACATTAGTTGTCACACAAAATGATGTGTTTGCGATATTTGTTCTCTGCATTTGACCCATCCCCTGGGGGAGCGGTGAGCTGCAGACACAGCCGCGCTCGGGAACCATTTGTTGGTTTAACCCCCCAATCCAACCCCTTAATGCTGAGTGTCAAGCAGGGAGGCACTGGGCCCCAGTCTTTGGTATGACCTGACTAGGATTTTTCTCTGGAAACGTTTTTTTGCTATATTGCTAAAAAATACTTTTCATATACTGATGGCAACCCATAAATAATTTTTGGGGCAAAAAATTAAAAGCTTTATTTATCTCTGAAACACAAAACCCCAGAGATAACCTGATCCAGTCCAGCCACACCTCATGCTATATATGCTAGCATGATAAACAGGAAGTGAGTGGAAGGGCGTTCGGTTTGGTGCAGAGCTGTGTGTGTGTGTGTGTGTGTGTGTGTGTGTGTGTGTGTGTGTGTGTGTGTGTGTGTGTGTGTGTGTGTGTGTGTGTGACCATTTTCTGAATCCATCAGATTCTGTGAAGCTAGAGGGTAGTCTAAAAAAAGCGGTCAGACCTTAGAGTTTTTCGAAATGCAGCTTGCTTGAGCGGCTTTTTCAAAGAATGACTATGACACCTTTAAGAAAAATGCCTCATACAACAACTGAACAACTGAACCAGAATTTCATCTGTTTATTTTTTAAGCCCCAAAATTAACAACAAGATCAAAAGCAAAAAAATCCATTTTATTATTGTGATTTTTTAGTATTGGATAAGATTCAGTAAACATGTTTATGTACATCGGGCATGTCCAAGAAGTAAATCTGGGGCTAGCTGCATCCCCCAGTTCCATTCCGAATGATGATTTATTTCTATCTTGTAGGCTGTGGACGTAGATCAACACTTTCCACAATTTAAATGTTGAGGTTTTTACTAATAGTGCCTATTTTTGACTAATTTTGAGTAAAAATAAAAATTTACCATTAAATATGTTTTGCATAAAAAATAAAAATATAAAAAACTGATTTTGTAGTCTTTAAGGACAAACTTAGCCCTCGTCTTGAAAAGTTTGCGTTAGACTGTCAAAAGGTTTCAGCATACTTATTAGTTCTGCTCCAAACAACAACAACAAAAATGTGACTGTTACTAAAAGCTAAATTTGAGACAAAAGAAGCATTACCATGTTCTCTAAATATTCCTCAGCTTTTACTTCATTTTATTGGTGATTGTCATTAACGTTTGTTCAAATATCATACACTCGATGCTTTTGTGTCGTGTTGCTTTAATTTCAGTCATCTCAGCTTGAAATTGGAAAACGTGTTAAATAAACATTCCTTCATTTCCATAAATTAACAAAGCAGTAAATGACATTTTAGACGACAGAAGAAAAAACGTCTGATTTTTAAACATTTTTGTGACTATTAATATTATTACTTGAGGAGCATTTCCTCCGCTGAATTTGTGTCTGAGGATGATGGCTGCCATATGCTGTGTTGATATGGAGGTTTTTAATGTTTTTATGATTGATTGCCAATTTAAGCAGCCAGCTGTTTAGTCACATGCAAAAAAAAAGAGAAAGTGTTCATGTCAAACATGATGTGCAAACTGTCAATCACCAAATGAGCCAACAATGCATCATGATATGCAGCTTTGGTAGACCTTCAGAGCTTCTCTCACGATGTATGATGAGTGACTGTTGGATAAACAAACTCTGAGCATTTGTGATTGATTCAAAATGGCATTTGTTTTAATTTATTTGAGCAGAATTTTCATTTTTACAGAAGAGATAAGTTTTCTGGCTTACTGGAACAACATTTGTTTGTAAATTTACTTTATAATTCTTTTTAAAGACGTAACTCAGAACTGGAAAGAATGGCTTTTCTGGTACCGGTGGTCTAGTAAACAGTTTTATGAGTCTTGAACATGTTGATGCGAGTGTGTTGCTCCAAGACTGAAAAGCTCACGTACGTTGCCTCAGGTCACGATGTGTTAACACAAATACCTCGTAGCAAAGGCAGATATTACCATAGGATTCAACTACCAGCTTGCTTATTTCTGCAGCTACAGTCACACACTGATTCAAGTGAACTTCCATCCTTCCAAGCGCTGCTCACAGTGCTTAACCTTTTGCCTTGAAGAAAATAAAAAGTCAATAAGATTTCACATCATTAGCACAGCTTGTGATCTTTGTGCTTCGTCTGTCAGCAAAGCTGTTAACATGTTGTGGTGTTTCACAATGCAAGTGTTAACTTTGGAAAAATAAAATTGTAATTGCAAGGGCTATCTATACTTGATTCAAAGCTCTAGAGACGTTTTATGACTTGAAAACACATTTACAACCTTCATCAAAATGTAAAATTCTAATTATGCAAAGAAAACACACAATAACTATGATAAGGAGCAATATGTAAGAATTCTACAGAGAAATAATCACAAAGCAGTTTAATGTCTCAATCATGTTGGAAGGAAGGTTACAATGGGAGGTGAGGGTGGGGGTCAGTTTTTCTTCTTTAAAAAACAAACAAACAAGCAAACATCAACAAAAAACAGATACACATAGTTAGGGATGGGTACCTTTGACATATGAATCGATCCGGTACTAATTCCCGGTACCTACGAATCGATACCGGTACTTAACGGTACCAATTTTCGATACTTTTGAGTGTTTGATATTTTTAATTCTCTTTTATAATTAAATATATATTTTTCTCAATATATAACAATATTTGATAAATATCACGATAAGTAACATTCAACTGTTTGTATTTTAACATCGTCCTTGTAGTTTTATAAGCTGATAATTAAACTGAAGCAACATCTTTACTGTGAACTAAATTTACTGTGTATCTTCATTCCTTTTGACGTCCTTTTTCATTTGATTTTTCCTACTGGGAAGTTAGAATTTCTGAGGAGAAAGCAAACACACCATTAGTGAAATGGAAGCTAACAAATCAAGCTAACGTTATCTTAAACAGTTTATTTAACTGCTGGAACAGATTTAAACGATGATGCCTCACACTTAGATCGTTGTCACTGATTTCATCTTCACCCAATCACCCGTCGCATTTAGTAAAGTGAAGCCAAACTTTAGTGCACGTTCATGTTCTTCTAGTCGGAATTTCGGAGTTCAGAGGAGAAAGCGAACGCACCATTAGCGAAACAGAAGCTAACATATCAAGCTAACGTTATCTTAAACGTTTTATTTACCTACCGGAGCAGATTAAGATGAGGATGTCTCACTTAGATCGTTGTTGCTGGTTTCATCATCACCCAGTTACCCATCACATTTAGTGAAGTGGACCTAAGCTTTAGCGTGCGTTCTTTCTACCATGCTGCTCTGTTTACAACTGGCTCGCAGCGAGCGACAACATAACGCTCTTGCGCATGCACAGCTGTCTTGGCAAGTTCTCGTTATGAAGGACGGGTACCGAAACGAGGCATCGTTTGAAATGACGTGAATCGGTGCTCGGTCGGTACTGTGGAATTCGGTCGGTACCTTAAAAAGTACCGAATTCGGTACCCATCCCTACACATAGTTACTGTTAACAATCAGTGAGTTTGTGAGGTTGTCGAGTTTGTGCGGAGTTAACGCTGCAGTTCTGACAAAAGCCTTCAGAGTTGTTTAAAGAACCAAAGCCAGTCAACAGGAGCGACCCAGAAGTTATTTCTCTAAAAGCCACGGAATCTTTTTGGTTTACTCTAATATTTAGTCAAGAGGTTAGAGGCTAGCGTTGAGCTAATAATGCTAACTGGGAATTAGAAGCATATAGTCAATGTTAAAATATCTCAAGCTACTTTTTCAATCAACAACTCAATGTTACAGTGAAATGCATGTTTAAAGTAAATTATGAGTCAATTGGGGCATTTTACTTCCTTTATTGAGTCATTCAGAACTGTAACAGCATGTTAACAGCAAAAAATAAATAAATAAAGTAAACACACTTCCTCTATTGCCTGGTACATTTTACCACAATAAGCATAGAACGTACCCCCTACTGTAAAACGCCCTACAGTGCAAGCACCAGATAAGACAATGTATTTAACTACTTACTTACTTACTGCATCATCTTCATTCGTCAGCCAACATTTTTAGACAATGATTCGTAACTGGCAACATGTATGAAATTATTTTTTCTTTTTTCAGTTGCCAAATTTGACCACAAGATGTCATTCTCACTTCATTCTTACATGTTGCATCTTTAAATGTGAAAAACATTTGCACTTATTGTTTTCTCTATCCCTAACCCTATCCTCCATTGTCCAGCAAACCCATGTAAACAATAAGAATACATTTGTGTTTAGCTCAGTTGGACAAATGACCCAATCACATATCAATGAAAAAAGAAGACAAGATGTTGCTGTTTATCATAATAACGTATGAGATGTGTGAAGGGACTGTGTTTTGTTTTCATTTCCAGTTCCTGAGGCTTTTCTTGAGTGTAAATACATTTTGAATTATAATTAATGAGCCTGTATTGAACAAGCTAGCATTTCTAAAGCCATAAAAGCATTTCATTACGTGTTTCAGTTAATGCAAAAAAAATCTCTAATAAGTAAATCCATTCACATCTGCTTGGACACATGGGACAAAATGCTTTCTGTGAGGAAACAAATTAATGGCCTTTCAGCATAATCACCTTTATCCCAGCCTGCTTATTACCCCTGTTGAGTCTTTGAAGCACCAACAGTTATTTATCATGGTAATGACTCAATCTATGTTGAAGTTTTCACTTTTTCCAATGAAATTTGATCTGTGGTGTGACATGTTGGTGGTTTGAACCCAGCTTCCACCAAAACATGTCCTTGAGCAAGAGCATTAATATTAATGTGTGCATGAGTGTGTGAATAACATATATACAGTAAAGAGCTGTAAGTGGCCAAAGTGACTAAAAAAGATCTATATTCAGTCTTTTTACCATGTGACACAATCCAGATGTGTTGCCACCGCAGCTGGAGGGAAGGCGAACTATTATGTTGTTATTGCTCAAACTCTCTTTCTTCCCTGTAGGCCTGCTCCGATTGGAGGAGCTTGTTCGCCACTTCCTTATCTCTAGGGAGACGCTGTCGGTGCGAATGCTAGACGACAGTTTGGATCCCACCCCCTTGCTGAAGGAGATTCGAGATGACAAAGTGGCTACCATCATCATTGATGCCAACGCCTCAATCTCCTACCACATCCTCAGGAAGGTGATGATGCATAAACACTCAGATAAAGCTGCATCACTTTGACAATGACGCTCTCTTTTGTGGAGATGATACTTGCCAAGAAAGTAGACAGTTACTAATAATGAAGACAACATATTTCACAGAAGAAAAGGTCTGTAGAAATAGGCTCAAAATCACCAATTAATTTTGCATTTTTTGAAAGTGCAAGAACAAATTAATCTTCTCCATCGAATTTATAGAGCCCTTGCAAATGGACATCTCTGTTTTATTCTGTGCTGCCAGCCAAGCAGTGGTAATGCAGTCTGCCCACATTTCGATACGGCATCAAGCACATGTGCAGATGAAAACCCGCCCATGTTAATGCAATTGCCTGCTGGGGGGGAGGGGGGGGGGGGGGGCACTAAGAAGGTGCCATACAAATACAGGTCATTTACAGTAAAATGTATATGTGAAGTAAAAAATGAGACAGTCCTTACTTACTTCAGGCCCAGCAACACACTCAGACAGAAACTGGTTCACCCGAAAGACAAAACTCCTAAACACAAACTGAACAATGTGGTGTTTGCTGTACAGTGCAGCGAGGAATGCCCAGACCTCTACATCGGAGAAACCAAACAGCCACTTCACAAGCGCATGGCACAACATAGAACAGCCACCTCCACGGGACAGGACTCAGCAGTTCATTTGCATCTAAAGGACAAAGGTCACTCTTTCGAGGATGCCAACGTTCACATTTTGGACAGAGAGGACAGATGGTTTGAAAGAGGAGTAAAGGAAGCCATTTATGTCCACTGTGAGCAACCATCTTTGAACAGAGGTGGTGGTTTACGACACCAACTGTCTGCATCTATAATCCAGTTTTGAGATCCCTTCCCAGATGCCTCAACGCCCAGGCATATCCTGGGCCATCTGACCTCAGGAATTCACATGATAGGGTGGGGCCAGGCTTCACAATGAGCTCACCCGAAACTCTGGCTGAATAGGACCCACACCCACCCTCACACCTTGGCTAATGTGTTTATGTAGAAGATCATCGGGGGTCTTTTGTTCTCTCTTCGGGAGGAAACTCCCACTGGGTTTGAATCTGGGACTCTCCACCATTTGACCTCAGAACTGAAGAAGCCTCTCGGATGAGAGGTGAAACGTCTTCAAGCAACTCAATGAAGTCCAGACGCTTTTCTTTCAAAGCTCATTAGACTACAATGACCTGGATGACTGAGAACCTTCACAGACATCCTGGAGTTTTACTTCCTTTTGTTACAGCCCCAGTAAAGTTGCTTGATATCAGCACCCTGGACAGCGCCTGTGCAAGTTGCAGCTCTCATACTCCTGCGCTGTTTTCTGCTTCTCCCATTCAGCACCCTGGAGAGAGGCAATCTGCTGCGCAGCACTGCAAAAGCAAATCATAATCAAACAGTTTAGCCTTTAAAAGGCAGGGCCTTTCAAACGTTAATGGGCACAGATCTGTGCTGTTGTCCCCTTGACTATGGCTTTGTGAATTAGTTGTGTGCTTCTGTGTGTTTTTGAGACAATTTTTATTTTAAAGAGTCAATCTGTCAGCACTTGTCAGTGCACCCCAGGCCAGCTGTGGCTACATCGTAGCTCATCAGCACCAGGGTGTGAATGTGTGTGTGAATGGATGAATGATACACTGTAGTGTAAAGTGCTTTGGAGTCCTCTGACTCAGAAAGATGCTCTACAAATGTGGGTCATTTATCATTTAAAAGAGAACTAGCTGTAAGCTAAACTGCTTAGTATGATATTTTTCTTTGTGCGGTCCTATAAATGACTTGTGGAGTTAATGCATGATTCTTTAAATTAGATCCTCTCTGGTGACTCAACATCAAACTTTGTGAGTAGTTTTTCCCACTCTTGGACCTAATTAATTTATTTGCATACTGTCTTTTGTTTTACTTAATAAGAGTGCCTTTAGTTAAGAGCATTTCTGTTATGTTTCAAAACAGTGTGCTGTGAGTTTTATCCAGTGCTTTGTGTTTAGTTACTTAGATCAGATACTGTTTTCTCCCTGGGAGTATTATTGGTTACTTGCAACTAGATACAATCTACTTCCTATGTTTGTAATGTGGCGGTACCTCTTCCTGATTTCAATCTTGCTAGAATAAATATTGTGATTACCACATGGTTCATACCACTTTCCTGAGTTACTTCCTCCTTCATGCTCCTTGACAATAGGGGGAGTAAAACCTTTAATGAGTAATTCAGAACTATATCAACAAGCTAACAAGATGGCAAATATCTGCACTCGCTCTAATCCTGGACACATTTTACGGTAATAAGTGTAGTGCAGTAAAACACTCAAGAATGCAAAGACTAAATATAACCATGTGTATATCAACTTACTGTGTATGACTCATCTTTGCTTGTCATCTAGAATCTAACTGGCAACAGCCTTGAAACTCACATAACGGCAGTGAGAAAGTGAAGTTTTTTGTTTTAAAAAATGGACTGCTGTACCCAAATATGACCACATTATTACTTAATTCTCACAAATTGTAACTTTAAGACGTGCAGTTCTCTCTTCGAAACATGTAATCGTCTTTCTTTTCTTCGGGAGCTTCTTCCCCACTGTATATAACTCCAGTTTGTGCACAAAGGGAGTTAAATTATGTGTGTTTTCTGTGAAAATACTATTTTCTGTTCACACTGACAGTGAACATTTGTACTGGAGAAAATGTGCCAGATAATGAATGTTAAAAAAAACAATGAACAAATGATTAGATGGCAGCTCACAGAAATCCTGTTCTGGAACACCCCATGTCTGCATTAATGTCACTGAGAATTGTGTTTTTTAAGATAAAGTTGAAACATTTAGAATAAAATTTCCCTCATCCTTTCTTTCGTTCTCTTTGTGACCTCCAGGCGAACGAGCTGGGGATGATGTCAGCCTTCTACAAGTACATCCTCACCACCATGGTAAGAACGTCAGAGAGCTCTCCTATTAATATTTATTAGAATCTCAACTCCACATCTTTTCAGCTCTTTGTTCATTTTTCTTTTGGAACCCCCTTCATACGTTTCTCTTTTCCTTACAATGTTGATGAGTCATGAAGGTGGATATTAAAGAATAACATGTATTCAAGCTTAACATAAAAGATCTCTTTCCTATTATTCTTTTTGCTTTTTGTTCTTTATCACATTTTTTTATGTAACTTTATTTCTGCTTTCTTTAAATCCTCATTTCTAACTTTTTTATCTTCTATTGTGTTGTCCCACTGCTTCATTTCTAAATTTTCTTTTGCCTTTATATTACCACTAGCCCAATCTCTTTATAAACCATCTTACATACTTTTCTCCAACGCTTGTAAACAGCATTTTTAAAGACCAAGTTCAGTTATTTTTTTCAATGCATTTGCTGTGGACTCTAGTATAAATGAATGTCTTGTGAGTCAGCCTCTGTGGGGAAAAAAGCTCTGGCGCTTCTGTTTTGTCAATTAGAAGTTAGCCATAAGAATGGGAAGCAGAGCACAGCATGATTTGGACATCTCACTTCTGATTGGCTAACAGCAACATGACTCTACTACTGACTCTTATTGCTTTGCAACGCTGATGTTTTATCTCCACAAATAACTCTAGCCTTTAGGAGTTCTAATGTGTTTTTCAGTTGCTAACAGTTAGCTTATATTAGCTAATGGGCACTCTGCTCTCTCCTGGACGCTAAATCAACAGCCTTTCCCATCACAATCCAAGCTCGGTGGGTAAAAGGCTATTTTCACAGCCTGCATATGAAACTCTGGGTGATCGATCAATTCTAAAAAAAAATAATAAAATACATTTTTTTCTGTTAACCTTTTCTTTAAGATACTTTTGAAAATAGCTCACCTTCACCACAAAGTTTCTCAATTTTCCCTCTCTTCTCACTAATTTCAAGCAGTAAGGAGATAACATATTACCTCTCAAAATAGGTTACTACTTTAACTTAGAATCACACTGTTTTGGTACATATAACATTTTACGAGAAGTCCCAAAATATGCATGTTAAATGACATTTAAGTCATTTTAAACAAAAGCTTTTGCTAAACGACTAATCTATAAAGACAAGTCACCTCCAAATCAACTTTTTAAAATTTTTTTGGGCGGATAAACTATATAAATGAGTGTCTAATTGTGCTGTAGACACTTTTGGCATTTTAGTGCATCTTAGTTTAAAATGAAATATTCTGCCTAAAACTGTCAGTGTTTTGTCTCTTCAGGGAAAAATTTCTGCACTGCATTTGAATTGAAATCTGCCATCATTATTGGCTAAGAGGTATCCTTTGACACTAGCTGGTACCGTATGATGTCACAATGTTGTTGTGAGCCTGTGTGTCTGTATTTGTTAGCGGCTCCACCCTCTTGGTCTGTTAGGCAACAGCATTTGTTAAATTTTTCAAACAGGAAGTGGGAGTGGAGTAAGGCTCTGGTAGGGGGTGACTTGCTCTTTGATAAATAGTATGTGGTCTGTGTGGCCGGGTCACATGACGCATAACTCGCAATTGCAGCCAAACAGAAAACATTTCCTGTCTTAAATATGATTTAGTTTAAGAATTTCATTGACTTGAGAGCCAAGTACTGGAAGTAAGAAAATGAAAAACCCCAGCCAATGTTTCAGGACATTTTGAAAGGTGTCCCATGAACTTCTGCAATTTGTTAGAGTCACTGCCGGGCGAGTCTCTTGGTGTGGGGACAGATTCATCACAGGAATCTGGAATCACTTTTAATTAACTTTTTTGTGAGGCAGACAGCACAAAAAATTTGAGACAACTTTGGAAATGTTTGCACAAATATGACATAAAGTAAAATTAGCATACATGAAAATGCTATTATATTATATACCATAAAAGACTATGTATGGAACATCTTGCAGAGGCATTAGACATAGTTAATTGAACAGAATTTTGCGTCTTTATTCAATCACCAACAGTCACAGCCCAGTTAGTTTGGTTTTACTGTTCTTTGTTCATTAGCTGTAATGAGTTGCTTTTATCTTTCATCCTTTGTTTTTTATATCTGTTTTTATCTGTTTACTGCACCAGTTCCATCTGTCTTTTTGTTCACTTTCTTTTTTGCACCATTATGTGTTTTATTTCTCCAACCATTTGCTGTTATGTTCCACTACCAACAGTGTTTGCTATCTTCTCTTCCAGGATGTTTTTATGTCACACTGTAAAAACTAAGCTGTTAGGTATCCTCTCCTTCCCTAAACTCCACTCTCCTACTCTCTACCTTCTCATCAGAAATGCAGGCTGGTCTTGCCACCATTTGTCATCATTATAATTTCCCTGTTTGCTGTTGTGCCCTTGCACAAATAGGCAGCGTGGATAATAACTTGTCTCGATCTCCGCCTTGACTCTAAACACTGCGAGTCACAGACTTTAACAGGACCACTCACACGGCACTAACAAACCAAGGGCAAATTTGTCCTCTCCTCACCTCTTTCTCACATTTTCATTCCTTTGCAGAGGTGCATGTGACCTACCTCTAGCATTGTATTGAACATGCTCTGTGGGTTGTAAAAACACAGGTAGAATTCAAACTGCTTATAGGAAAGTGGATGAGTGAAAACAAGGGCTATAACATGGAAGCTTTTAGGAAGATAAACTTACACTTTTACCATTGGTAATGAAAAAAGAGCTAATGAAGAATTTTCTTATACTTCAAAGTTTGTTTCTTTTTTTATGTAGTATTTAAATATTTTCACTTTAAAACTGGTAATTAATTGCCGTAATACCATGTATGTCTGCAGAGTAGATGGATTTCGTTAACAGGAGGGATGTGGGAGCCAATCAGAAGAGTTTATATTTCCAGCCTGGAACTAAACAATTTAAAGTCATTTTGTGGAATGTGGCCTTTATCTGTTTGTAGACAGATGGACTGATTTAAATTTTACAGGTAAATCAGGGCCACCACAGCCCACACTGATATGTCATTTAGGGGTTTCTGTCAGTACAAATTCTTAAGCTAATACATGCATTTCATTTTTCTAACAGAACATATTTGCAGACTACATAAGCACAGTCATGTACTAAAATCAATGTGTGAGTTTCTGTTAAAGATCACAAGTCAGGACATCTGTTTTCTATACAGATCAGCTTTTATGTTAACAGATGCCAGCACTGTTTTAAACAGCATCTGTCACTTGTGAACATTCTTTAGTGATCTCCAAAAGGTATTTATTAAACATAGCTGCAAACAAGACTGACACTCAACCAGGACCCATAACAACCAGCTGGTTATAAATTGTGTAGGGCTAAAATGAGAACAAATAGTGAGATTTGTCAGACATTCGTACAACTGTTCTTGTTGGAAAGCATCTTAATTTGTTTGCAATTTGCTCTTATTTTATTTACAATATTGTTGCATATATTGTCACAAGGCACTCGAGGAGTACAGACACTTCCCTCTTTCGCTCCCTTATCTTTTTTTCCCAAGGCTCTTTGTCCTGTCTGCCCACAGAGCGTTTCTCTGCATTCCTTCTGAAAAACTATATTTTTACTAACCATGGATTTGATAAACTGGTCATTCAATGCGATCGATAAGATTTTTTCAACAATGAGAACGGAGCAGGGGGCTCCCACATGTCCACAGGGGACACACCCAGTGGGATATATATTGGATTCCTGGAAGGAGTGAAGATCATATGCCTCAGCCAGCTGTCCATTGAGGACATCGAAGACGTGTGGATATTCGGCCTGATGATCACTGGATTTCTCCTGATTGGAGTGGGAGGATATCTGGTTTTCTGGAAATTTGGGAAGACAGGAGCGATTGGAGGGCGACCCGCACCCACGGAAAGCACTGTCCATGCGGAGACTTCTCAGACTGGGACGTTACTCAAGGTGAATCGTAAGCTGGACACTGTTCTAGCTGTGATACCGGTATTAGTGCGCAAAATGGATGTCATCTCGGAGAGAGTCACCGGACGGTATGGACAGGTTTAAAAACCCAAAATTTACTTCACTGAAGGACCGGAAATGATCAGTTTAAAGACTGAAGGCAGAGAGGAAAATTATCTCAGCCTGACCCAAACAAATTCTTGTTATCCGAATCTGACGCCCTGGTAGCCTTGAGCTGCAAGCAACTAAAACTCCCACGAAGGAATGCAGACAGATGTTGTGAACCCCCCCCCCCCCCCCACACACACACACACACACACACACACACCCCACCCCCCACCCCACCTTTGGATTGGTGGACTTCCAATCCAATCTTATTTATATAGTGCATTTAAAAACAGCATGTCAGCTGACCAAAGCACTGCACAGAGTTAAACCTAAAAAGCCATTCAGAATACACATATATACACATTAAACACAGATAAAAGCTGTCATAAAATAGAAACACCTAAAAACAATACAAATGTATAAAACAGCCAATAAAAGAGAAGTCAATAAAAACAGAAGTCAGTAAAACAGAAGAGTCACAGCATAAAAGCCCGATCATTGACCAAAAGCCAAATAAAAAAAAATGTGTCTTCAGGCTGGATTTAAACTGTGCCATTGAAGAAGCCTGGCGTACCACCAGAGGGAGTGTGTTCCAAAGTCTGGGAGCTGCAAAGGCAAACACACGCTCCCCACAAGCTTTATACTTCATTTTAGGGACTATGAGCAATAGATGATCAGCAGACTGGGGGGGGGGGGGGGGGGGGGGGGGGGGGGGGGGGGGGTGTAGGGGGTGAGCAGCTCTGATAGGTATAAGGGGGCTAGACCATTCAGGGATTTGTAAGTAAAAGTCAGAACTTTGTGTTGAGTTCGAAATTGCACAGGAATCCAATGTAGATCTGGCAGAATTGGAGTGATGTGGCAGCGTTTCTTTGCATTGGAGAGAAATCTGGCTGCAGCATTCTGGACTTTCTGTAGACGATTTAGGACAGATACATTTACACCAATTGGAACCGAGTTGGAAAAATCGAGTCTGGAAGTGATAAATGCATGAAT